TTAATTTTGGCCATTATTACTACTACATAGTACACATGATGTAAATAAATAATCTTGTATACGCCACTTGGAACTCAAGTTTCAAGGACACGCTCGACAACCCCTCCGCTTTAATATGACGAGCAAAGAACTTTCAATAATGTAACAAGGACTGTGTCATTTTTAATGACTTGTTTATTTATCACTTTCTTGTAGTCTTTTCAAAATGGTGATAGAGACTTTTCAGAGTACGCGCTACGCACCTTCTACAGGAATGTCATCAAAGGAATTATGCGAGAATGATGATTTAGCCACAAGTCTCGTCGTTGATCCTTTCTTGGGATTTCCTTCACACAAAATGAACATAAGGTAACGTATCTGATTCATAATAACCTCTTTAACAAACCAGCATTCATGCATGTTGTTAATGCTACAAGTAAACCTTATTCAGCGTGATAATGATGATAAATAATTGGTAGACTTAGATATTTTTACTTTACAGTTCATTACAGTGCAAACTGTTTTCATAGTGCATATATGTTAACCTTTATATTGCTTCTTTTGTTTGATTTATTCCAATAGGTTTCGTCCAGTGACAAGTAAAACTGAACATCTACGAGGAACTGTAGACAAATACAAAGAGCACAAAATCAGTCTAGAGACTGCCTTTAAAGCTTTAACCTCAGGGCATTGGTATAGATTATATTTTCTTAACAAGTCCAAGAATCAACAAAATACTTTCAAAGAACATGTAAGTTATCTTCATGGTACATGTAATAACACTAATAGTTTCTGAGTCTAATGTTTCAAAGCATTTCCATGTCAGCTCTTTATTTGTTATGCCGGCTGTGGGCAAAAACTTACTCTTGTCAATGATTCTATCAAGACACTAAAGAATAAAATGCCAGGCTACTGCAGTAATTTTGAAGGTTAGACATGCAAGATTGTATTTAAAGCAAGTTACGTCGCATGTACAAAACCCCCAAAAAATATTAATTATATTTTTCGATGGGTAAATTTTGAAACAAAAATATACATATTATGCGCAGGTTTTTAAAAACTGGTTGAATAAATAGCTCATTGTTGACATACATTTTTTGTAACTCAATGCAAGTAAACAATATTATGACAGGGTTCTCCTCACGCCGCATGGTTCCGTCTGGATTTCTGACCAGCACAAAAAGTTGCCGATTGCCACTATTCTATTTATGATGAACACTAGATGTTGGCTTCTGGACCATCATTCTATTGTCCTTGTTGGTTTCAACGCACAATAACACAATGCAAAAATTAACACAGAACAAAACTTTATTGTGTTTTTGTTTTAACCATCTCGGATTGACATTCTGTTGGAATAAGTCGTGCATCAAAATAATGGAAGGGAAGATAGTGATAAATAAACATAGGGAAGGTTTAGCATTGCAGTTTAATTCTGTGTAGGATCTGTTGAACTGAACAATAACGTCACCGGCGTCAAGCTGTTTATTTAATCTACACTTGCACTCAAGTGTAGTAAGCTTCTTTGATGTTTTTGACTTCCTGACTCGTTCTTGAAATTAAATTCATAAGCTATATTTAGTCACTATTTCTCACTATTAATGTGATTTACCAGCAATCCATTAGAGAAAAACTGATTAAATTCTTCCACTTTGCCCATAACAGACAGGCGACATGCTTTTGAAAAAAAAATGGCTGCCGGGTCAATGTCTCAAAATACATATTTTAGATGTGATTGCGAAAAAGAAATGTATATATTTTTTCACTTTTATCAAAGCAGATTAATTTTAAATTGAAATATTTAAAATAAAAGTTAAATTAATTAAAGTAGTTAAATCGTAACTAGTAGGATGGCAAAATGAATATTAATGTACTCATGAATATTAATTAGCAATCAGCACTCAAATCAGGCTGGGGAGAACCCTGTTACGATATCGTGTTTTTCAAGATTTTCAAACAAAACCAAAACAAATGTAACGCCAGCTGATTTATGGTATAATACACCATAATTATTCAAATATTGATGGGTTCATGAATAGATGTGGATTGAAATTTTGGAGCATCTGGCCAGCAATTTTCGAGACCATGAACTGTGTCAGCTTAAACAGTAAATAACTGACAATGATAATGATCATTTTTCGTTATCTACTAGGTTTTCAGATATTTACAGACGTTCTCAGAGGAATCAGGGTTTGAAGTGAAGTCTTGTTGTCGGTATTCATTGGAAGGACAGGGTGCCAAAATTGTTAGTACAAAACAATGGTGAGTTAGAAATTAGTACGTCTGTTTTACTCAATGACATTGTTGTGTTGAATAGAAGCATGTATTCATTGGTTGCACTTTCATAAATTCAAGATAGATATTTTTTTCTCATTCCAGGGAAAAAAATGAAAAAATTTCATTATTGGTTGGTTGTATTTCTGAACTCACACCTCTTGAAGAGAATCAGTTACTCAGGGCAGGTGAAAATGACTTCAGTGTCATGTATTCTACTAGGAAGAATTGTGCACAATTGTGGCTTGGACCTGCTTCATTTATCAATCACGGTAAGTGCTGTATGATAACTATTGAGACAGACTCACCCAGAAACGCGCTCAGTTGACTGGAAGTGAAAATCCAAGGTCAATAAGCAATTTAAAATTCATGGAGCAAATTTGTGTTTTACCAGATGCCTAAAGAAACTGCTTCAAAACAATGGATCATTCCTAAGATACACAGATTTAAATAAGACTGGGATTATCATACACTGAAAAATGTGCATGGTTTATGCATTTGATTCAATGTAACATGTCATCACATGTTTCTGTATCTCGTAACAGCACCATTAGTGGCCAATTTGAGCAAAATGTCTGATGACCTAAAATCTGTATCTAGATTGTTGTCATGATCCTCTTAAAATTCTCTGTCATCTCTGCTATGTATTTAATGACATCATTCTGTATGTCAAAAATGACTTTTTATCACGGTATATTCTAATGAATGTATATTCTTCTTTGCAGATTGTCGACCCAACTGTAAGGTGAGTGTCTCCAATTAACAAATTTAACAGGAGTGTCTGCCCCCAGCAGACTGTGTCACTCACAAAACTGTTCACCAAAAATAAGACCTTCACAAAAAGAAAATAGTTGGTTTGAGTGACTCGCAGATGTTATAATGTTGCCTGAATAAGACCAGTTATCGTCCACCACATCCTCAAGTCATTGCAGTTGTGGTGGGTAGCTTGAATTCAATGAGATCGTTGATTCATTTGCAGTTCAGCAGTGAAACAGAATATTACTACATGGTTGAATATGGTTATACTTGTGCTGCAAACCGAATATTGAGGCATTTGTTATTTATCCTGTGATGCAATGTCCTGATTATGCTGCTTGTTTCACTGACTGTTCCAGTATTTCAGGAAAATATGTCATGGTTAATTAGCATAACAATGCATGTTAATTACATGACATACTATTAGTGAATTTTCTTGTTTATCTGAAATGAGAATAGTGGGCACAAGGTATCTCTACAATACCTTGAGGAGAACCCTGTGTTCAAAAATACATCATTTTTGGAACACTTCAGTAACTGTTGACCTACTTTTCTTATGTGTAACCCTGACATAACCTTGTACAGGCCAATTACATCACATATTCTGGGTATGGTTTGTCATAATAGTTGATGCCGTGTTGACTGTAGCATAGTTTTAAGCTAAAACTTTTTTTTAATTTAGCTAATCCATAATTTTGCTAATTCATGATGTCACAAATTTTAAGAGAAAGTATATTCTCACAATGGGATTGTTGGTACCGTACTTGAGCTAAATTTAAATTCTATTAATTCTTGAATTTAGTCAAATTAACTAAAATGGCCTATAGCTATTACACTTTTACAGTATATTAACACCAGTTAAAATTCTCTTTCTGAGATGAAAGAATAAGAGTATCATTTCTAATATTTACCATGTCTTCACTTATAGTTTGTATCAACTGGTCGTGATACTGCTTGTGTTCAAGTGTTGAGAGACATTGAACCAGAAGAAGAAATTACCTGTTTCTATGGCGATGGTTTCTTTGGTGAAGACAATTGTTATTGTGAATGTGAGACTTGTGAAAGGTAAGGTTTATTTGTTTTTTTATGGCGGTTATATTAATATGATTGACCGTAGTTTTTACCATATTCAGAATTACCTTGTATATCTAAGCAATGTGTCTGATTTATTCTAGGAGAAAGACAGGTGCCTTTACTCCACAGAACCCATCTGAAAAAGATGTGCTAAAAGAAACATCTTACAGGTTGAGGGAAACTGATAACAGACTTTCAAGAATGAAACGCAAAAGTGAAGAGGGCAAGAAGTCCCGGCAGAATGGCAGGTGTCCTGTTAGTTACAGATCTAGAGGTCAGAATTCATTGTTACTCTTCCTCAAGTCCATTTTTCCTTAGGTCACTTGTAGATTATATCCATGCATCCAACCATTCATCTGGACCTATATCTTTGACATGTCTGTCTATGTGCATTCACTTCATGATTCAGTTAGAGATGACTGACTGAAAACGATATTAGTTATAAATATGCATAAAAAATGCACAGGGCGCTCACAGTTACTCACAATCCTGTGTGTACTGCTTTGTGAAACTTTGGTAAATGTCACAGGTACACAAAAGTCTCTAGAGATATTTCTTGCATTCTGAGAATGAAAATGTTGAATAGATGGTTTTCTTATCATCTGTCCTCCCTAGTGTTTTGTAGTAATAGTTATTTTTTTGTGATCATTATGTTAACTTTAGTTAACAAACAAATCTCCATTTGATATCTGGTTGTGTCTTTGAATGCATGAAACAATTTGAAATGTGCATATCTGGTCATGAGGCAATGCAAAACATGTTTTGATAGAGTCCAAAACATTGTGCCAAAAATAAAAAGTATAGCAAACTTAATGTCCAAAACTTCAAAGAACAGTTTTGTGTATGAGTAATGTCGTAATGCATAGAATCTGATGAAGAGAGATATTTGTTCATTGATGCTGTGATTTCTAGGATCGCTGTATGTCATCGTTGTTTAATAATTTTTCTCTTTCTTTTATTTTAGGAAGATCCAGTAGTGGTCGAAGTGGAAGATCAAGACAGCGTAGTGACAAATCAACAAGTGATTCAGGTTTTCAGAGATCCAGTTATAGCTCCAGTTACAGCAAGCAACGAAACTCTGAGCTAACCAAATATGATGCTGCACTCATTAAATCTCATGGATGCAAACTATCAGAGCCAGTCATTGTACTAACACCTCAAAAATTAAGTCCATCCCAAATAGTTAAGCTTGGGCCAAAAGGCGAGGTCATAGGTGTTTCACGTAGGAAATTAAAGTTTAATGATGCCGAGGATGGACAGACAGCTGTAGTAAAACCATCAGGACGTGTACAACCTGGTAATAGTGAACTTGCCGATCAGTTGGATTCCATGCTGAAATTTGAGGATTATGAATACACCAGTAAAATAAAAGATGAAACTGAAACTGAGTATATTTCCGAACCAACTTTCAATTGTCAGGACTCTTCGATGGAATTGAAGAAAGTATATAATGATGCTTCTGAAGATGATTGGCCTGACTGGAAATGTATTCCCTCTCCAAAATATGAAATTAAACAGGGAGAGGAATGTTCAAAAGTTGGCAATGATTATGAAGCTATGCAAGATTGCACACTTGAATCCGCAGGTGTTGATCCCTGTGAACAAATGCAGAGCTGCCAGTCCAGGAACAATAGCAATTCAGTTGATGTTGCTACTGAAATATTAGCTTATTCGGGTGATGCTTCAGTATCGTCTGACAACTGTGTCATGAATCTGATTTCTGCTACTTCACAAACAGTATCATCTCCAGCACGTGCTTACCAAACTGAACTTGTACCTGACACAGGGGGAACTAAGTTACGTATTAAGGCACCTCGGCCTCATACTTATAACAGAGCAGTTATGGAGTGTAATTCTGGTGACATTGTCATGGAACAGCTACAAAATGGAGATTCCTTTGGGTCGCTGCAATATTGTAGACTGAAAATGAAAAACACTGGAGTGTCTCAGATTGCAGCAAGTCACAGCACACAACAACTTGTCAGGAGTACTGTAGAAGAACATAGAATTTCTTCAACAAATGGTAAAATCGAGAAAAAAAGAAAAAAAAATAGATGGGATCCTATCAGCAAAGAATGGACTCGAACAAAGAAAAAGATGGTAAAATACAATGCTACTTTACTATCACACCATGATGATAAGATCCCCAAATTAACGATAAGGTTTGCAAGGTGTATTGAAAGTGACAACAGCAGCAGTGAAGAAGAAAATCAGAGAACCTCCTCTGCTTCTAAAATTTTCTTGAAGGTCAAGCCACCTAGTTCAGAAACTGAAACATTTGCATCAAAAGAGAGAGATCTGCTAAAACGCAACAAAAAAAGACAATGGCAGAAAAACTTGCATTTTAATGGTTACTCTCGAAAAAAAACAAAGAAGTCAAAGCAAAAGGGGAAAAAAAAAGTTAAGACAGTTCATCAGTTTGCCCCCAGGTTGTCACAACTTCGGGAGCTGTATGAAAATCCAGAGCACCCTTCATTTCATAAAGTTGTTGACCACTTTTCACCAAGATTGTCACAGCTCAATAGCTCTTCTTTTGTAAAGTTTGGTGAATCATCCAGTGAGTTTGAGGAACAAATTAAAAATTGTCCACAGTCAGGGGAATTTAAATGGGATAACTCAGATGGTGACAACTGTGAAACGCCCGAGAGCCTGATTCCATCATCGTCTGGAGATGAGGAAGATGACAATACACTGATAGATTCACATCTGCATCTTAAACCATACTTGCCAAAGAAACTTAAAATGATTGTTGGAAAAGACAGATTTGAAGTGGCAATACCAGAACAAAGTCAAAGTCAAGAACTCACTGATGAACAAAGCTCTTCTCCTGAAAACTAGTGTGTTGGAGCCTGCTATGTTGATTGCTCCATGTAATTATAGTATTTATATGCAGATTACATTATATGCAATGACTTAACCTAAAGTATATATGTTACGACAATCAGGCCATGTTTTATAACATACAAAGAGTACCATTTCATGTCAAGAGACCACTTCGCAGCTGTAGGTTTTTGGTTTTGTTTTTTACTCTGGTGTATCTTCTGTTTGAATGAGGAGTATGTCTCTACATTTCTGTTAGTAATTTATTTTTCCAAACTGCAAATCAATGATATTTTTATCTTTTACCGTATTGTGCAATCATCGCCAAAATACACTTAGTTTTCTTCTGCTCACACAATTACACTACTTCTTTCGTATCCTATTTAATAAAATCTTGTATTGAAGAGTTTCATACTCTGTTTCAGGTTTCCCCAACTCACCTCTGATAGTGTCTTTTTATCAGTGCACAACTTGTTTTGATTTAAATATACAGTGTAATTCATCAGAATTTATGCGTTCACATAAATGTAAGTTAAACTTCTAGTGTGCGTTTATCTTACTCATAGTTGTCCCTCTTTTGATTATGTAATTAAACTATTGATAAGATGTATATTGCTAAAATTCTTTTATTGTTTTTGTACATTGAAACAAATTTCATTTTTTTTTTCAGTTGATTCTTCAGGTTATTGAGTGCACCTGAAATGTTACAATTGATTCTATTGTATTGAGAAAGTTTTAATATCTGATAAATCTAATTCCACGTTGTATCATGCTATACATATCAACCTGAAATAGACTAATGTAATTGTCAGCAGCAAGCTGCATTTTAAATGCCATCATCTTTTTAAGATTAACAAGTTTGTACAGTACATTATTGCAAGTAATGAATTTGACTTGACTGGTCACCCCTTTTTTTTGAGTGTGTATACTTTGCTGTTGAAAAGATTATTATATTTTTAGAAATTCTGTCTCTGAACACCAGTCAACTCGTGCTATTTAAATGTAATAATTTATAACCAAGACAAATTCTATCTTCTATTCTACATAAAATTCAGCAAGTGATTTTCGACTATCCCCCTCTATACACACACACACACAC